GAAGCTGCTAAAATGTTGRAATAGCAGGAAAACTAACTGATGACTATTTTAATTAAAGGTGTTTATGGAAGTGTAGCTCTGTTTAGCTCAGCTTCAGCTGTATTTGAGTCAGGCTKTAGCTGGCTTGCTGAAGAAGTGTCATTTGGTTTAATACTGAGCAGTGGAGTAGAAATTACAATAACATTTTATTCCTGGGGCATAAAAACCCGCAACAAAAATGCTTAAAATGTGCCCAAACAAAATTAATGTACTCTATAATTAACTGCTTTGTGGTTGTGGATGGCTTACAGGTGTTTCACACTGTACGCTTGCTCAGCAAGAGTAGCCCTATCCCTGAAATGCTCCATCAGTGTTTCCAGGATGTGGGTCACTAGCGGAAATGCACCTTTAGAATTTTGAATTTTTGCTGGAAAAACTAGAAACTAAAAAAAGAAAAAAAAAAGAAAAAAAAGCTATCTCATCCCGAGACCTGAGAAAAGTTGGCTTATTCTTGTAAATTTAGCACATGTATTTCTTTTTTTCCTTTAAATGAAATACTGAGTAGTTGTCTTATGCATAAAGTCATTTGAATTTTTTTTTCTTTTCTGAAAAAAATTCAATGAACTGCTTCTTTAGAAATTGTGAATGTAAAAATATCTGCATGTAATAGTACTTTTTTGCTTCATACTGCTGCACTAGATGTGTAATCTTAGTGTGGCCATGAGTTCCCCCTCCACTGACAGTAGTTGAGGTTGTGCTTATATGCTAAATTCTGGCCATTTTTACCGCTCATCATGGACATATTTTAATGTTCGTGTTCAAAAGAAAACTGAAGAAAGTATCTGGCATCCCACTGCTATAGAAGAGAGGTTTTTATTGGGAAGCATTCTAGAATCATCAAGTTAAACCAAGTGTCTTYGGACTTCAGCAACATCAGAAATTTAATCCTGCAGGTAGAGTGGAAAGTAGAGTTGATTTCCATCTAAAAATATTCAGAGTAACCTTATTTACAAAGCAATCACACTTGTATAAATATATTTTTAGATACCACTGTGTGTGCATGAATATTTATATACATTTAAGTAGCTGCTATCTAGTCGCTTGTCTAAACAGCAAAACAAGTAATCTGTTAATAGCCTATATATTTGATAGGCCATAAATGACCATGAAAAGTGTCTGTCTTCATCCCTCACCTGTTGTTATGATGCATTCAAAAGATTTCAGGCCATCTTGACTCCATTTTCCAGCTCCCTGTGAGGTCCAGGACAGCTTCTCTGGCAGTGAGGGAACACCGTGTTAACCTGGCTCTCATCCAACAGCCTRATTTCTGAGGCCAGGTGTTTTCTGTGGGTAAAGTCAAGTCAAGCGATAGGACAAGGGGCAGTGGGTAYGAGCTGAAACGCAGGAAGCTCCATCTCCATGTGAGGAAGAACTTCTTCGCTATGAGGGTGACAGAGCCCTGGCACAGGCTGCCCAGGGGGGCTGTGGAGTCTCCTTCTCTGGAGGTCTTCAAACCCACCTGGATGCCWCCCTGTGCTCTGAGTGTCCCTGCTGGAGTGGGAAGGTTGGACTAGGTGATCTCTAGAGGTCCCTTCCAACTTTAATGATTCCGTGAAATTAAATGGATTGGAACAGCCGCAAGCACTCTGTAGTGAAGTATTTGTTGTGAACGCCTCACGTGGGTGCGCGTTCAGCAACCCCACTGCAGGAGTAGGGGCAACTGAGTGCCCRGGTGAGGAGGCTGCCGGGGAAGTCCGTGCGCCGCTTGTAGCCAATGCCAGCAAACTGAGCTCTGCTGCGGCTGCTCTATGGGATGCTGCAGTGCTTCTTCACAGTTAGTGGCTAATGGTTTTATTATTTACATAGGAAAAAAAAAATACCACCATCATCATACTTGTAGCCAGTACAAACTCTGTGTGTAAACCAGAAATTTGGAATGTTCTCACTGGGGTATGTTGGATGAAATCTTGACTTCATTTCAATGAATGGGAATTTTGCCACTTGCTTCCGTTGGATCAGAATTTTGCTCAGCATGTGCAGTTTAAAGGATACTGAAAAATTTGGGACGGTTTTGGTGGACCAGATGGTTGTGTTTAGACCTCTGATGGTACCAAAGTAATTCGTTTAGCTTTTTTGGCCCAAGGCCTGTGTCTTTTCAACYTGGGAAATAATGTCTGGCTCGAACCATTAGAATAGGAAAAGTTAGGCTAAAATAGCAACCGAATGAAGTTAAATTAGAAACCGTTACCCACTTCAGTAAACAGCGCAAATTCAGAGCGACAAGCAGGGTTTTCTTTCCGCAGTACCGCGTTCCTTGTGGTCGACAGAAGAGTCAAGTCAGAAGATTGTTTTATGGGGTAGCAGATTTAGCACTTCCATGCATATTTTTAAAAAACAAAAAAGCCATTGATTACAAAGTGAGGCTGATTGACTGTGCTGGATTTAAAAAGCAATGTTTTGTACTGGAACAATACATAAGGGCTTCACCTCAATATTGAGTAATACTCAGCACACATGTAAACCCCCTTAAACACACSTGACAACCTTTAATTTCTCCTTTCTGCTTGTATTTCTACTTTTTCTATCCCTAATGAGCTGGTATCTAATCCAGAAATATGAGCAAGAGCTGTATGCTTTTAAGAGCATAATCATCTTGTAAAAATCAAGACTTGTGTCAAATAATTTGTTTCAGGTTCCTTGCCAAGTGCCACAAATCTAATCTAGGAAAAATCTGTGGGGCTGTTACCAAATCTCATTTCCTCACAGGAGCCGTATTTAATTTTAAAAATAATTATGAAATAGTGGAGTACAGACTGATTGAGAAGGTAGGTTTCCAGAAACATGGCAAGAGGAGAACCCTCTCCCCTGCTAGCACAGCAGCAGTGCGGAGCGAGCAGTGGAGTGAGAAGTCAAAGTCTCTCTTCAGGGATTTATTTCAACAGGATGCTTAGAAGACAGATTACCCATTTGTAAAAGTAARAATTTGTTCCTCAGGCTCCCCAAAGAGCTGCCATCAAAGTCTTCCTGTATTAGATTTCATACTGTCGATGAACAGTTGCTTTGCTTAAATTGTAAAAATGTGCATTGTTAGTGCAGGTGCTGCCTGGCTTGGGAACAGTGTGAAATGTTCCCTGTGCCCTGCCCAGGATGTAGAAGGGCACGGAAGCCGCTTAGCTGGGATGTACTTGATGGACAAATCTGCCTTGTTGGGATATCTGCCAGAGCAACTGTTGAGGCTGAGGCTGAATAGGAAGGACTGCGGCTTACGTGGGACATTGTGAAGAAAAAATCATCTAACTAGGAGGTGCATTTGGCTAGGAATGTTGTACTGAGCAATAATTACCTGTTTAAATAGATATGAATTTTCTTAAATATAGAAGTTGGCAAATAAAGATAGTGTCCCTGACATTCTGCCCTAAGCATTCCTAGACTTACATATAGGTAGGTATTCAAAACTGATAGTGATCAGCAACTAAATAAATACCAACTTTTCTCTATTTCCCTTCTTGCATTGTTTTGCTCACAAAACAGATGGTTTCAGTCAAGCAACAATCATTGCATCTCCACAGATGTGATGTTTTGGTCCTGGTTCTGCTCCCGTGGATGTTTGCAATTCAGTTCAGCAGCAACAACCCCCAAATGCAGTTAACCTACATAGCTGGCAGAACAARCATCCTTTTAACTCTTGTGTTGAGTGCCTGTGCAGTGTGACATCCAACCTACTTATATTTATTTCAAGATGCATTTTATGTATGCATTTATCTGAGTGACAAGTGGATTTTATGCCTCCGTTTATTCCACTGTTCTGTGTTACTTGTATTGAATACTGAGTCTCTTTAGTATGTTTTATTTTTCSCCAAAGCACTGCTGTGTCTGCACATCGTTATTGGGAATGTGATCCTCTGGACCTCATCCTTATAGGAAGATACAGAATTCTGTCCTYTTTGGGATATTGGTGACTTCTTTTTTTTTTTTTTTTCTCCTCTCTCCCTTAACATCCTACTTCATTTTAATCCAGTGTGCCCTGGACTTCCAGGAATTAGAGAAGGGCCTCTATTTGTAAGCTGGCATGGGATGGGGGTTTCTTCAGGAAGGCAAACAGGGCTGTGCGTGGTGGCAGACCAGGCCGGTGCAGCACAGAGGTTCGGTGCAAGAGGAGTCTCCTTYTCTGGAGCTCTGCCAAACCTGCCAGGATGCCACCCTGTGCCACATGCTCTGGGTGTCCCTGCTGGAGCAGGGGGGTTCGACTGGATCATCTCCAGAGGTCCCTTCCAACCTCAGCCTTTCTGTGATGCTGTGAGCAGGGCAGCCACCAGTAACGTGTGGGTTGGTGCTGCCCACAGCACTGTCTGCTCCYGCAGCCTGGGGAGTGTTGCCCACATTCATGGGGCCGTTTGAAATCCAGCTGCACTAGGAAAGAGATTAAAGACTAGAGGGCTGCTCTGCTTTTCCGTGAAGGGATTGATTGACGACTTGTTGTGTGGTATTTAGGAGGAAATGCTGTGTTCTGCCACCTTGGGCTGGATTTAGCTGTGGCTTTCTGCTTCTTCTGGGCAAGGAGGATTGCTGTGCGTGCCAAGTGCTGCTAGAAATGGGTTTCACAGGGGTTGTGTGTTTTATAATGCCAGCCAGGCTGTGCTGGAGGTGTGTGCTGGGCTGAGGCTGCTGCCTGTGCAAGGGCTAGCCCCAATACTGTGAATATTTGCAGAGAATGAAGAGAAGTGAATTGCCATCCGAGGGTGACAAGAAACAACTTGTCACACAAAATGCTCATAGGCAGTTGCTGCTGGTCATTGGCATTCTGTACCATTCAGGTGAAGATACGGCTGTGCTAAAATGTGGTGTGTTTACCATCCATTTAAGTGTTGCTGTTTGGTTGGTGGCTTTCTTAGTGCCTCCTGGTTAAAAAGAAATAGTTGTGCTTCATAAATTAATTCCTGTATGAGATTGTTAGGATTTTTTCATTGGTTCAGCCTGGATAATCATCCTGTCCTGTTTTCACCTTGCTTCCAAACAGTGTTGGCCCTCCGCTGAATGCAGCTTTGCTGGCACTTGCTGAGAGCACAGAATTTCTTCAGCTGGACTTGGCTCTCAAGAAATTTTGGACCAGGAGAAGGGCCTAGGAAAAGATACTCTGATCCTTCACAAAGAAAAGGAGAAAGGCAACATCTGCTCGTCAAAAGTAAGGATTGTTTCTTATATATCTGTGTGCTTGTGAATAGAATTTAATTTCTCTGATTAAGGATGAAAATTTTAAAAATAATCAAGTCTCTATATTTTAAAGGGTGATATTTGATGTTATCAGTTTGTCTTATTTTGGGTGATTATCTGATTACACTGCTTGCCCCTTGCTATGTTAGAAAGAACAAACAGGCTACTAATTAGAGCTTAAATTGCAAAATTGGACAGTGTAAAAAAAAAAATTTGAAAGAAAGAAAAATGCCATCTCCCCAAACTTTTCTTTCATATAATATATGTATACTGGTAAGCAATCTTTAAAAAGCTGAATTAAACTTATAGTATTTACAGTGCTGTTCAGAGAGTTGGCTCTAAAGGTACAAAGCTGCTCCATGCCTGAAAGCCCCAGAGTTGTGACTGCTGAGGAGCCTGGAGGGAGTTAGGCGGAGTTTGAAGAGACCACAGCTCACACGAGTGGAGCAGTCACGGCCTCTGCTTCTGTAATTAAAAAAAATCCACTTTCCCAAATGTTAAATGTTAAAGCCCTTCCTGTTCTCTTATAACTGAAGTTAATGTGCTTGTGTGGGAGTTGTTGAGGGAGAAGGATAAGAAATGTGGTGAATACTACTGTGATAAGAATAGAGGTTAATGCAGGGAGCCAGAGAATCTAATCCAATAATATATGAAGTCCTGTAAGAAATCTAAGCTAAGCTAAGGTATATTAACAACTCTGCTCACTTAAAATTTGCATATGAAATTTTACCTTTCCAGGAAAAAAGTCACAGCAGGATGGTTTAGCTTTTTAATGGTGGTTGGCTTTGTTTATTTGCTTATGTCTGAGCTATTCCCAAGCCTTCCTTCATAACTATAAGGAACATTTTTAAAAGCATGCGTTGAGGCATTGGGGGTTGGAGGAGATGATCTCTGTAGGAGTCTTCAAACCTCAGCTCTTCTGTGATAGTTTCAAGGGGATGGATTTTAAAAAGCACATCAAATGTTCAAGAAAGTTGTCCTGACACAAATTCAGRTCACTGTTAGGTGACAGTCCTGGGGAGAGAGCTGGAACTGGGAGAGCATCTTTTATTGTGCCCCTGACCAGGTTCTCCTAATGAAGAAGAGATACGTTGTCTGGCAAACAGAGCATAGGCCTTATTTCCATGGACTGAAGTGCAGAGGACCTCAACGAGGCTGATAGCCAGAGAGAATTACGGACAGAACTCTTACGAATTGAAGTGTTTGTACCCATCAATAAATTGCTTACATAAAGAGAACTGTTAGGTAAAGGTTATTCTCTTCAGTACTGAAGTCAGAAACCTAAAAGCATGCATAAAATTACAGGATTTAGTTTCTTTTGGATGTTCTGGAACCTCTAAAAATATCTAATGTTTTTAACTTTTTTTAGGAAAGCATGACTGTCAGAGAGTATTTTCCTTCTCTGAACGAATGTGGGTGTATGTGAATATGTAATGCAATTAATTACCCACAGTGGATGGCATTCTTTTTCTAGATGGTGCTGAAATAGAAGTCAATAGTCACTCTAAAATAGCCCAAATTTCTAACCTTCAAGCAAATAAAGAATAATACAGCTTTGATGGGTGATGACTGTGTTTCTTTGCCCCACATGCATGAAATCACTTTTATAAGTGCAGAAAACAGCAGAATTTTATCAGGAGTGATGCATTAGTTTGTCCTGGAGCCGCAGGCGATGTGGACAGTCTCATTTTGCCTCTCTATTCACGCTCTCTGGGAAAAGTTCCCCTCAGGTTTGCTGGAGTTTGTTTCTCTCGTTTTTTCTTTTCTAATGTAAGTCGAAGCTGCTTGTTCCTTTGGCATGAAGGAGCAGCGGTGGCTTCCAGTTGCTGAGCTCGCCTCTCCCAGTGGGATTCACTGGCCCTAAAGGTGCCTTGTGAAGCAGGGGGCAAGCTGAGGCAGGGCCCCGCACGCCAACACAGCGCTCTGGGAAATGCTCTCCCTGCCCTGGGCCAGCTCTGCCCCTGGATGGGCACTTTCTGCTGGGGTTGACCCTGGGGCTCTTCATCCACTATGCAATGAGACCTTAATTTTCCCAGGTAATGGGATTTATCTTCTCTCCACCTGCTTGTCTTTGCATGTGGATCCTTCTGAATTATTCTCTGACCGCACAAAGCCAGTGTCTTGTATGTCAGCATGAGGATGTACATTCTCCTGAAAATGGTCAGGCCACTAAAATAAGCAGTAGGTTTGTGCTTTCTTTTGCCACATTACCTTTGATTGATGAACTGCCATGCTTGGCTGTGTCATGGTTAGTCACTCCACTCTGYGTTTTAAAGTTTAGTGGCCAGATTGGAGCTTGGTGAGTGCCTCGGGGCTGCCGCCGGCCAGGAGGAATGACCGGGCGCTGCCCATGGTGGGCGCGGAGCCGCTGAAGCTGCCGCATGGGCTGGCAGCAGCAAAGTTGCTGCGTGAAATCCAGCCTGGCCTTGCTGCCCGTGATGACGTGGGTAAGCAGAACGTCTCTAACCAGCACAAGATCACCCTGTTCTCTTCCCAAACAGTCACTTATGTTGCTTGTGTGCTGCCGCCCACTAAAAGAATCTGTTTCTTTTTTTTTTTTTATTCTTTTATTTTTTAACTTTTACTTTTTCTCTCATTTAAAATACTGTCTGCCACTTGGGAAGATGCCCAGTCAATGCCTGTTTCAACCCAGATTATCAACTGAAACTATCTCAACTAGGAGGAGAAGGGCATGTTAGAGGAAGAGAGAAGTTGTAACTAGGGGGTGGTTGTTTTAGTCTCAATCTGTGAATCACAGTCTTAACTTTGTTTCTTTTAACGAGCATAATCCCAGACAATCAAGCCTCCCATAGCTTGAGGTGTTCAGATTCTGTCTTTGATAGATGTAGCTGAATAGCTGAAAAATTCCTGGGTTTCATTCATTTGAGGCATAGATGAGGTATTCTAGCTGCAAGCTCTTTGGGAGTCCAAGATGAAAGTGCTTTTAAAGGATTGCTCATGTAAGCCTTGGGTTCAGCTGCCTTTGCTTGACACAGATCACAGGGAACGTGCAGAATTTATTCAGAATGTCATGGCTCCATGCTTAAGAGAACAAAAGAGATTAGAGCTGGACACATGAAAAACAAATAGAGCATAACTATCTTTTATGTCCTGCATAACTGTCTTTCTGATTGCAGAATGGCTTAGCTTGTTTTTGGTTTTTATTGTGGGGTTCTCCTATTGCAGCTTGGCCAGCTGTGGCACTGCAAGCCTTGGCAGGCAGCTACCCCAGGAAAGCCAGAATTCCTTGTTCRGAATCACTTGCACGGTTGTTTTCTGTAGCAAACCGTGGATCTGTCTTGTCTCAGTTACATGCTTTTATACTAGAAATACTGTTAAATATGATTTTAAAGAGATTTTAGAAAATGGCACACAATATAGTGTTTCAAGCTATTCCTGTTGAGTGCTAGATAATATTTCTTTTAGTGCCTCGTAAGCTCTGATGAGGCAAGTTGGGCACGTGTCATATTTCTCATGGTTTGTGCAGAGGAAAAATAATATTATCAAACAATAACTGTATAATTTAAAAGCCTTGAGTACTTAGATATGYTTGAAACAAAAAACCAGAATGTTCTGCTGTTCTAAACTGTGAGAAAAGTTTAGTATTGCTGAATGTACTCTACATACTCTGTTACTCTTTACTTGCTGACAGCAGCTTTATTGGCCACGGACATCATCAGAGGGCTCTTGGCCAGGGACTCATGGTAACAAAAAGAGATATTAATAAATAACTCGASTTGAGGACGTGTAGGTGGGCGCAGCCGTTTGCTGGGCAGGGGTTGGTGTAAGTGTCCCTGCTGGAGCAGCGGGGTTGACTAGATGATCTCTAGAGGTCCCTTCCAACCTCCCCCATTCTGTGATGCTGTGTATGAGCAGTATAGCATGCTAACCTTTTTAGGACCCCTAAAACATTTGACTGTCTTGACTGTTGGCTGAAGGGGAAGGTGGTTTTAAAAGTTAAGGAGTCGAGCAGATTAGTGGTTTGTCTGGAGCAGGGCAAAGGTTTAGCAGGGCGAATTCACAGCCTGGCAAACTTGCTARCGCAAATGGGATACTGAGTGCAGCACCTGGATGAAGAATCTTGTTGTATGTTTTAAGTGGTATAATGGAACCGTTMGTGCTAAGTATTGCATTTTTATTTGTACGATGGCCTGGAGGAATTACTTTTTACTGAGTCCATATGAAGGATTTGGTTTCATCTGAGAGCAAGTCCTGAATCTTTAGTGATAATATATCAGAGGAAAGTATAGAAGACCCTATAAATGTTTTACTGCTGAAATGTCTAGGCTTTCTTGCACAAAATAGTTATTAATCTRCTTAAAGTCCTGAAGGCACCTGAGGTGACAGACTGCATTTTAGTATTCTCTTACCTTCTAATATAGAAGGGCCAAAGGTTTTTTGATCTGATCTGTCTTGGTAACAGGCGTTTCAGAGCCCACAGGGTGTCTGGCATATTGAGAGGGGAAATAGCAGGTACCCGTACTGTGCCCGTACCCAGTAACTCTACTATTCCCTAATAAAAGCCAGTAGYGAACTTGTAGTTAGTTCTATGTCACTTCTTTTTTTTTTTTTGAATCACCTAGTATCACCTGTGATAAGCTCAGAAAGTTTGGGGAAATTTATGCAAGTTTTGGGAAAGAGCCTAAGCTCCCCCAATATATAACTGAATATTTGGAACAAGAAGCTGCTGAGCTTTGCTGTTTGCACTGCCCCTTGTCTTCCTGCCTCCCTCATGAAATGCACCCCGGCCTTTGCTGGCCCTGGATGTCCCAACGGCAGCATCACGCAGGCCTCTCCTGCCAGCCGTGTTGTGCCACAGCAGTGACCCTGTCGCCCAGCTGAGCAGTTCTGAAATGCAGGATCAGTCTCTCAGATTCTCACTGACAACTTTCGGCTGCAGATTTGCTATTGTGCCTCAAGCTGTTAGGAAATCTGCATGGAATCACTTCAGTTAAAGTACATGTRGAGAGC